ATCTTTTTTTCCATGTCTTTACAGATCCTCCTTGTTTCTTTCCCCATCCTTCAAACAGTGCAGGTCTTAATGATTCAACACTGATTTTCAATTCTTCTGACATTTACAATTTATTAAAGATCTTAAAGAGTTATGATTTTTTATTAATGTTATTTTTTTATTTTTTGTATTTTTATTCTTAATTCCTTTTAAATTATCCTTCTTTTTTTGTTATTTTTTTTTTAATGAATTTTTGATTCTATTTTAGTTATATAAAACGAAATTTATTCTTTTGTTAAACTAAAAATAAATAGAAATTAGTCATGAGTATTTGTTTTTCACGGTGGTTCTTATTATTATAATAAAACTTCTTCTTTCTTTTTTATTTTTGACACATTTATTAATGTGTTGGATTTTTTAATTCGTGAATATCCTTTTTTATTTTACATATAACAATCTCAGACAATTGGTTTATGTTGGTGTTTTGCAGAAACTTCTATATATGGAATTTTCATTTTCTTCAATACGTTGTGCACTCGTGGCTGAAACGTTTCGTTCTTTTTCTAAATCATATTTATTTCCAATAAGAATCATAAGAATAAAACTCTTTACAACATCAAAGCCTGTGTTTTAAGTAATTATTCCCTTTAACTTAGTGAATCATTTATATGTGATAGTGCTAACTATAGAATAAACTAAAGTAAATCCATCTCTTTCTCTCATATAATTATCTTTTAAACTGTTATACTCTATTTGTTTTGAGAAGTCAAGACATTTAAATTAACAGTACCAATAATTATAGTCTTTTTATATAAATCTTCTAGTGTTGGTTTGTCATATGCTTCTTCTGCTTTTTTATAGTAGAATTACATAATGATTGAAAACCAACAACACTACTTTCAAGCACTACAACATTAATAGACTCAAGTTTTTTTTTGCTTAAAACAAATAACACTTTGTTTTGAGATTTTGTAATATTTCTATTTTTAAAGATATTGAATTATTTTTTATCAAAAGAATTTTTTCTATTTAATTATAAAAAATAACAAAATTTATTTTTTATTTTTGTTTTTTAATTAAGTCATAGCTAAAATATTGCACTGACAGTTACATAAGATATTGTTGAAGAAGTTGTTTTGTAGTATCATAAACTCCTTCAACAGTTAAAGCTTTCTTAAAAACTTCAACAAGAGCTGGTTTTTGTTGTTGAAGTTCAGGAATAGTAGAGTAGAAATGAGCAAAAGTAGAATAAACTATTTGTTCTTCTTCATGGTCAGAAATGATTGGAAGGAAATTTAATAATTGAGGAAGGATAGCTTGTGGTTGGAATGGAATGCCTTCAATCATTAATATACGGCAAACACATGAAATAAAGTTATCAATTAATCCACGTCGTTTAATTGTTGGTAATAATTGGGCAATAAGTTGAAGAGCTTGTTGAGAAGCGTTAATGGCTATTTGTTTTTTAGGAGTAGAAGCAAGAATAGTAACAAGTATACCCAATCCATAAACAGCATTTCTACTTACGTCTTCATTTTTATTTGAAATACAATTCAAGAATAATGTTAATGCTGGTTCAGAAATACATTCAGGACATGTATGAGTAAAATTAAAGAATTCAGCAATAATACCAATTGATGTTGCTTTAGTAATGGAATTATTTCGTTTTTGAACAATACTACTAAGGATTTGGAATATTTGAACAAAGTAATCACTCATAGATTGACCGAATAATTTAAACATTATCATAATAACATCACTAGCAGTAGCTAATAAGTCACTTTCAGCTTCATGGATTTCTTGACTATCTTGACCAGCATTAATAACTTGAGATTGAGTTTGTTGTGTTAAGATTTTAATAAGTAATTGTGATAGTTGTTGAGAACATGCTGCTGCTCCAACTCTACCTAATAATGTAAATATATCAATTAATTTATTTAAACACATAATAACAACATCTCTATCTACTGCTTGATCACACACAATTAAATATGTATTAATAACTTCATTATATATTTTAGAAAGAGACTCTGACATATTACTAATATTTAAATGAACTTTAGCAATACTATCTTCATTAATATTCTTTACAAAATTACTTCCATATGGATTTTGTCCAAATGGAATGTATAACTTTTCTTTTGCAAGTGGAACATATAAAACTGTCCATAAAGCCTCACATGCTGATTCTGCTACTTCTGTTCTTTCATCAACACACATTTGATTAATAAATGTTAAAAGAGATGGAACATATTGTTCCATTTCTAATGGAACAGTTTCAAACATTTTTGATACTAATGTAACAGCTGATGATTTTTCAAGAAGAAGTCCACTATAAAATGAAAGGCGTTCTTCTTCTTCATCGTCTTCTTCTTCTGAGGAAATTTCTAATTCATTATCTTTTTTATCTACATAATCATCTTCACATTGGAATGAGTGAATAACTTTTTCTATAATACCAGGAATTAATGGTGCTAATTCACTTCCATAAACAGAAAACAAATCAACAAGTGCCATATAAGCAAATTGTCTTAATTCATATTCAAATGAATGTTGAATACTTATCAAAGCTTTAACAATTTCAACACAGTCATTTAAATATGGTCTAAATTGTTCTTTTCCAATTGCCTTAGCAATACAAGCAAGTAACTCTAATCCTCTTCCTCTTTGTAAAATATCAATATCTTCATGTACTTCTGCAGTAATCATTTTATGAGATATTTGAAGTAGTGTTTGGGCAAATGGTAATATTTTATTTCCAACAATAAATACTGTTGCTGATAATGCAGATAATGCTGCATCTCTTGTATCAAAATCTGATGTTGTTGTAATGCAATTCAAACATGTAGATAAAATATCACCAGCTACAGGTTCAATTTCTTTCATTGATAATTTTTCTATCATTAAATGAATATCAAAATAGGCAGCAGATTGAATTGAAGAGACTGGGTCTTTAGTCATAAATACTAATGCCTTAAGGTATTGAACACAATTTATAAAAACAAAAGTCACTCCTGACTCTCCTAAATCACCAATACATTTTAATGCAGCACCTCTTACAGTTACATCTTGGTTTTGAAGAGCTTGAAGAATAAATGGAGATAAAACATCACCAACCTCATCAATAGAAATTGGACAAGTATAAGTCATTGAACTAATTGCCATTAACAATGCACAACTAACACCAGGAAGTGGGTTATTAACAAATTGTGATGCAATTTGCCAAAACAAAGGGAAGAAATCAGAAGAAGGAATAATTTCAGCCATATTAGAAAGAACTTGTCCAGCATAAATTCTATGAGGAGATTCTTCATCAGTAGGATCTAAAGGATTATATTCTGAAAGAATAGACAACAACAATTCTACCATAGGTGGAATAATACCATTTTTAATACAATACTCTAATTCATCACAAACAAAAGTATTTAAAAATAATAAAGATGCTTGTCTAATTATTGGGGATACTTCTTTTGATTTTGCTGCTTCAATACAAAGAGCAGCAATTGGAGATGTAATTCTTTGTGTAATTACATCAAATTCTGGAATATTACAAAAACCTTCAACAATGTCAGACATAACATCAATAATTTCTGAAAATTCTTCATC